TTACATATGATGTTTGGTTTATATTCATTTTACATACATATGCTTTCAGAAGTATATTTATTGTATAAAGTGATTGCTGTGCTGTTTATTTTATGATTGTTAGATTGTATATTCCTCGAAGGCAAGGACATGGGTGTCTCTTTCTTTTGTATCGTCCTCTGTTTTGTATATCAGACACCGAATGTGATCCCAGGTACCATGGATATGGGCTCCCTTTCTATCTCTATTTACCCTCCCCTTATTTAGGTTCAGGGAAGAGAATAAGCCCAGAAAGAAAACCACTCCAGGGTCCTCTGGATATTTCAGAGAAGTTGTTTTGTTCAACCTGTGACCAGACCTTCCAGAACCATCAGGAACAGGTAAAAGGCCAGGTGCAGAGCTAAATGGTGGAAGCAAAACTATAGTGGTGGGTGAAGAGAGGTAGACAATTAATTTGTCTCTAATTAATAAAGGTCTGTGCTTTGACTAAGGCAGTTGGTGTTACCTGGTCATACTTTCTGGAGTTCTTATTACAGGGTTTGGGTACCATAAAAGGCCAGGCTGAGGTATATTTCCACATTGTGTTTCCCTCTTTGCCTCTCATTAGAGGGAACATTATAAGCTCGACTGGCATCGGTTTAACCTAAAGCAACGTCTCAAGGACAAGCCTCTCCTGTCTGCCCTGGATTTTGAAAAGCAGAGCTCCATAGGTAATGACTGGTGGGAGACCTGTGTAGGAATAGGCCATGGGAGTGGAGGAAGACCCTAGTTTAGGAGCTTGAAGAAGGGTCAAAGATGGGGCACCAAACCTGCATATCTCATGTTGTTCTCAGGAGATCTTTCCAGCATCTCAGGATCGGAAGATTCAGACTCAGCCAGGGAGGACAACTTGCAGATACCGGATGAGGAGAGGGCTGAGTTTGAGAAGCCTAACTGCCCCCAAGGCTTCCACCCACATCGAGTTCTTTTCCAGAATGCCCAGGGCCAGTTTGTTTATGCCTATCGCTGCATCCTAGGCCCTCGCCAGGCAAGTGCCACCATAAGTTGTGTGGTCAACACCAGCCTGCCGTACACTCAGCCTAGATATCCCCTTAGCACAGTCCACTTCTTATTTCTTCCTTCCTTCCTGTTGGGGGTGGGTACCACACTTGACAGCACAGTCTTGGATTGAAGTGGCCTGAATCTTAGAAGGGTCAAGTATAATGGAATTAAGTTTCGAAGCAGACTGATCTAGGTTTGAACTGTGGTTCTACCACTTGATCTTGACTACCTCTGTTAGTGTCACATTGTTTTACTTGTAAAACTGAGACAAGCACAGGGTGGTTGCATTAAATCAGATAGTACATGTGAAGCATTTAGCACTAGCACTTGTTTTTTGCTCTAAGTGCCCCAGATATGTTTGTGCTGCTTCTCTGTCATCCAGTTGCCCCTAGAAGAACCAGAACTTCTGCTCCAGAGCCTGCAAAATAGAGGCCCCAGCGTGGTGCTCATGGCTGCCGCTGGGCACTTTGCTGGTGCCGTTTTCCAAGGGTGAGAGGGTGCTGCCTGGGTTAAGGATGGAATGGATCCTGTTAGCCTGGGAGTACCAGCTGGTTTCCAGTACTGAGTCTGTGCTGTCTGCAGAAGAGAAGTGTTGATACACAAAACCTTTCATCGCTACACAGTGCGGGCCAAGCGGGGCACAGCTCAGGGGCTTCGGGACGCCCAGGGTAGGGCTCCTCGCTCTGCTGGAGCCAACCTGAGGCGCTACAATGAAGCCACACTGTATAAGGTGAGTTAGGTGTCCCAGATCTGGTGATCCTTTAATCCACCCTTGTTCCCTCTCAACTGATTAAATATTATGTAGGGAGGCCGACTCCTGTATCCTCCCAGTCTTCATTATTTCGAGGTAGATGAAAGTAGAATAGGGGTGGGTCCCCAGGAGTCTTAGTCCTCTCCTTCTTCCTCCTCTCTCTGTTATTTTCTACTTCCCACTCCCTATATGTGATCTGTGGGTCATTTTTTGGTTGGAGATTCAATAATAGCAAGTGAAGAGGCTGAGTTAGTCCCTTCTCCAGGATGTTCGTGACCTGCTGGCGGGGCCAGACTGGGCTAAGGCACTGGAGGAGGCTAGGACGATACTTCTTCGTGCCCCCCGGTCTGGCCGTTCCTTGTTCTTTGGTGGCCAGGAGGCTCCCCTGCAACGAGAGGATCCCAGACTCTGGGATATCCCCCTCACTACCCGCAGACCCACCTTCAAAGAGCTACAGCGTGTGCTCCATAAGCTGACCGCCTTGCATGTCCATGGTGAGTCTTTCAGTCCAGATCCCCAGACTCCCTTCCTGTACCTTCCAGCCCAAGCCCCAGGTTCTCATTTGTGCATCCAGACCATTTTCTAGCCCTCAGACTGCAGTCCAGTCACATCTTCATTGAGGGAAACCTGGTCTAGCTTTTCCTCAGCTAAATTTGAAAAACATCTTTTGTTTTATGGCAGGAGAAGACCCCCGGGAAACAGTCAGGTTGGATTCACCTCAGACACACTGGCAGACAGTGAGAGAAAGGAAGGCTATCAAGGAAGAGAGAAAGGTCCCCAGTGATGAAAATCCTGCACTCGGCCAGAATGAGGAAGCTCCCAAACACGGTTTGAGCACCATCTGGCAATTGTCACATCTCTCTGGGGGTCTGTCCTAGAAATGCAGTGGCAAATCCCCTACCTACTCTCATCACTTACCCACCTCCCTATTTATAGATGTGCCTTTACATATCACACACATAACACACAGATCTGTCTATAATGAGGTATGTGGTAGCAATCACTGAGGCATCTTTGGTGACTTTTCCAGATCTCGTTAACTCTTTTGTTCACTGATGTATCCCCAGTATTTACAGAATCTTAGTATGAAATCAGTGCTTGAATATGTGTTGTGTATATAATTTACTTGTTTTATTGGATGCTCTGCTTTTGGGCTAAGGGCTGCCTCCCTCGCTGCAGACTGTTGGCTTGCATGGCTGTCACTGCTCCGTGCTTTCCTCTGTTGTGTATCACCCTAAGGCTGTCATGGGACTGTCCAGGGACTCTTGTCCCTTCATAGCTTTTTCTGGGCCTGTCCTTGTCTGGGCTGAGCACCTCATTTCTGCATATGATACTAATGGCTCCAGTTCTTGCTGTGTCCCTTTATCTTGGGTGAAAAAATACAAACAGTTTTATTTCAAGATGATCTGGATCATGTACATTCTTATGCATCTGTGGCAGCCTACACCCTTCCACCCCTTCCTTATTCTTTAAATACATCTAACGTATCAAATTTTCCCCTAGGTTCAGAGTCAGAGGGAGAGGATGGCTCCCAGGTGGAGCTGGAGCTAGTAGAATTGACACTGGGGACCCTGGATCTTCGTGAGTTTGAGATATTGCCCAAGCGGAGGAGGAAAAAAAGGAATAAGGAGAGAAACCGAGACCTGGAGGCTGGGGCACACATGCCTCTTCCCCAGCAACCTCAAGATGATGAGGCCAAGTCCCCCGCTCAGCCAGAGCTCTGGGATGTGCTTCTAGTTGCTTGCCGAGCAGGAGATATGGGGATGCTGAAGCTCCAGCTAGCTGCCAGCCCCGTGGACCCTGGAGTTTTGTCTCTGCTCAGTGCCCCTTTGGGCTCCGGTGGCTTTACCCTCTTGCACGCAGCAGCCGCAGCTGGGAGAGGCTCAGTGGTTCGCCTGCTGCTGGAGGCAGGTGCGGACCCCACTGTGCAGTAAGTAAGGGTCCTCATGCTGATCCCTTCTGGGGTATATAGAGGACGATCTAGAGGCTAACTTTGGCATGGGTTACATTGACAGTATTCCCCTCGGTCAGTCTGGGTGATGTTGGGAGATGAAGGAGGCAAACTGAACCCATTTTTTGGGTTTTCGCACCTAGGGACTCCCGGGCCCGGCCTCCATATACAGTTGCAGCTGACAAATCAACACGAAATGAGTTCCGGAGGTTCATGGAGAAGAATCCAGATGCTTATGATTATAGCAAGGCTCAGGTCAGCTGGAAGAGGAAGGAGCAGAGTGGGAAGGCATCAGAGACCTTGGCTAGCTCCCTTCTACTTTCTTACAGTTCTACCAAGGAGCATTTGTATAGGTCTCACCTTACACCTTCCGGAAATCCTCCAGGTGCCAGGGCCACTGACAGCAGAAATGGAGGCACGGCACGCTGCCCGGAAAAGGGAGCAGAAGGCAGCCCGGCGGCACCGGGAGGAACAGCAGCGGAAGCAACAGGAGCAGGAGAAGCGGGAGCAAGAAGAGCAGCGGCAGTTTGCTGCCCTCAGCGACCGCGAGAAGGTGAGGCTGGAGGTTCTTTCTTCCACAGCAAGACTTCCTCGGAAGACTAATCCCTTCCTCAGTGTGCAGCTGTCACCTCGTGGGTACCCTCTCCAGCACTGGGGCCTTGTCCTTAACACAGCTTCTCTTCCCCTCAGAGAGCTCTGGCTGCAGAACGCCGACTAGCTGCCCAGTTGGGAGCCCCTACCCCTCAGATTCCTGAGCCTGCGATCACCAATGTTCAGTATGTAGAGGAGGGCGGGTGGGGATGGGTGGACTATGATGTAGCAGGGACCATTCTGGACAAGCAGAATGAGTGCCTGCTCAGTGTTCAGAAAGGCTGTTGAGGGGATTTGAGAAGTTCTGGGAACCTTTGAAGTAAAAACAGAAGTGGCAGGAGGAGAGATGGAGAAAGCATAGATTGGAAGGTTTCTGGGATACCTGCCCAGACATTTTTCTTTCTCTTGTTCAGACGCTGCTGGAGTTGTGGGACATCCCTCCAAGGCCTCATTCCCTTTCACTACCTTGACTTCTTGTTCTGCTCCACACGCTGCCTCCGGGATCATCGCTGTCAGGCTGGAAAGCCCTCTTCCTGATCTCTTATAGCTCCACGTGGGGCCAACTCTAGGCCGAGAGGGCACATTCACACTGGCCCTAGGTTTCTTCTTCCCCATGAAACCAGAGAATATTTAGAAGATTAGGGTGAAGGCCAGTTAGGAACCAGGGCAAAGTCAGGGTCACAGAAGTATGTGGAGCTGGTGCTGTCTCTGAAACTTTATAATCACAATAAAGTTTGGCAAGGAAACTGCACTTGTACTTACATTCAGGCTTGTGGCCTTTGGTTCCTTATGGTCACCGTGGCTAGCACCAAGGGATCCTGCCCACTTCATGTCCCAGGGACAAGGGTTACCTTTCAGTGCCCACTTAACTCCATTGGTTCAGAAGTACTTTGTACATCAGCTGAGAGAGAATAGATGTATGTCTTATGCAAAGTGTTGTTGAGGATAGGCCTATCCAGGAATTGGATTTGGGGATGGGGAGGCACATTTTCTAGCTCTAGTAACGTGATTTTGTTGAGGGCTCCCCTAGGAAACAGCAGAGGTCTTGGCACATAGAGGGTCTGTTGTGGTCCCCGCTTTGTCCAGTAGCGGCCCAAATTAAACCCATTGATCCAGACTTGGCCCTGGGGAGGAGGGAGGAGAGGAAAATAAAGGGTCAGCTCTCAAGAGGGTAGAATTATCCCCTTTTGGGTTTCTAATCAGAGGAACAATTTTTGCTTCCTTCCTTCCATGATTTTCCTCTCTTCCACCCCAACCCCATGCCCATGCCCACTGTCAGCAATACCTTGGTCCATCCTGGTAGAAAGAGGAATGTGTCCCTGCTTGAACCAAAAATTGGAAAGACTGTAGAGTAGAAGGTGGGGCCAGAGGGAGTTTGAGGATGTGAGCTTTTCAGCAACTGGATGGGAAACCACCGCTTTATAAGATTATCAATCTTCAGAGGGAACATCAGCCACTGGGTAAGGACTGTTTGCCCCAGAATTGGTGGCTCTAATAGGCCCTGTGGAGAAGGCAAATGAAAATTCATCATTCACTAAGTTCTAAGGCCAGGCTATCCCTAATCAAGCCCTGGGATTGCAACTAGTGGCCATGTCCAGCTCTGTACAAGCCGCTAAGGATGTAGCTCTTTATCTTCCATTAGGCCCCTACCTTTCCAAGGGAATTTGGTCAATAAAGAGTATGGAGGCAAGGCGGCAGGCAAAGCTGGCTCACCTTGAAGTCACTGCTGTTAGACCCAAAACTGAGCCTCCCCATGTTCTCCAGCAAGACATCCAGTTTGGCCCCCATTTTCCCCGTCAGAAATAGGTTGCGTTTCATATTTCGCTCCAAAACACCCTGAAACACCTGTGGATAGGAGTATCTGTGAGAGGAAGGGGCTCAGCATCTAGCTCATGGCCACCACCCAGGAAGCCACATTAGGACACTCATTTAGAAGGCAGAGAGAATGTAGCCCTTCTGTCAGTTACACATCCATTCCAGAACCTTATCTTTAGTCAGACTCTTCCTCATCCCACCTTATCCCTGGACCCCATGCAGATGTGAGCAGGCAATGGGAAAAGGTAGGTATAGGAAACTCAAGGCTAAGGGGTGCTGGTGAGGAGAGGAAATGGGCTCACAAGGTAGCCTGGAATTAGGTGCTCACCCCATCCACCATCACGTAGGCACGGTCATGAACTCCATTGTTTGGCACCCAGAATTGTGTTGGCTTAGAAACAGTGTGGATCAGATAGGTACGGTACAACATAAAGCCATGGTCCTGGGTGTGGAAGAATGAGTAAGATGTACCGAGAGATAAGAAAGGATACTTGGGGAAGATGGGCAGCTAAGGGAACCTTTGGTACAGTTGTTCCATACCCACTGGATGTGGGATTATGCTTTACCTGCCTGACAGCCTCAAAGGTCATTGGCAAGATTGAACGGATGGGCCCTTGGGGGCATAGGAGGTCTAGGAAAGCCAGCAAATCCCCATCCTATTAAAATAAGGGAAAGCATCAGAAAGAGGGAAGTTTCAGAGCAGAGAGCAGGACAGGGTGGGCTATTTAGAGAATAAAGGAGTAGAATCAGAAAAGAGGAGGAGGAGCTTACCAGCTGTAGGGTCAGAGGTCCAAGCATCATCTTGGGGCTGGGGGGAGGTAAAGGTCCCAAGGGAATTTCCTGGAACTGAGCCCAAATTCTCTCAAGAGCCATAGGAAAACCACACAAACAACCCCCATTCCAACACCCTTTTCAGGGGTCCAGGGAAGGGCTTCAGGGGTCATGAGGATTCTGTAATTTTGCATATACATATGTGTATCTCCCCAGGTAGTCCCATTTAGGTAGGTGAGAAATGCTGTCACGGGATGCTCAAAGGGCTCTGTGGCCCAGACAATAACCACTGATTTATGGGCTCCCTTTACAAACCCTAGGGATTTGGGCACTCCCTCCCTCCAAATTAATAAAAGCCTTTGGCACTTAATGAAGTGGAAGGGCACCTTGCTGATGACATTTCGTATAGCAAAAAGCTTAGGTGTCGGGTCTCCTGATTCAGATATGGGTGCATCGTAGTCATAGCTGGTAGTAATTGGAAGAAAGCGTCCCTTCTCATCAGCACCTGGAGTCAAACCAATTTAACTAATTCATTTTTTGTATCTTTTGGATGATAGGCACTAAGCAAAGAAATTCATGCAGAGAATTTTGCTATCAAAAGGGGCAGTGGCAGCCACATCAAGCTTCTAGACATCCTAATCACCTAGGCTCAGGTGATTGCTGGCTCCCTGCTTCCACCCCAGGGACCATCTGTACTCACCATTCCAGTATCCAAAGTTGGTACCTCCATGGAACATGTACCTGAAGTGGGGAAGAGTTGGGGGAAAGGTAAAAGCTGACCCACTGACTCTTAACTTTCATCCCCAACACCCAGTTACAGATTCATGCTTGCCCCAGTGTCTCCAGTTACATGTTCACACTGGCTCCCAACTTGAGCATGTTCTCTAGTCCTTTGGTTACCGCTGGAATGGAGCGTGTGGAGTGGTTCTGGCCCCAGTAATCCAGCCAGCCTGTGTAGTACTCAGAGTTCACCTAGAGTGCGAAGTGAAAGGAGCTGTGAGCAATATGGGAACCGAGCTCAACCCATTCCCCATACTGACTCTTTCTTAGATTGCCCTCCCCTCTGGCTCCTCACCAGTGGCCCATGGGGTTCATACTTCCGAAGCAGGGCAAAGGTTTTGGTCATGTTGTCAGCTGCAGAAAGAAGATAAAGGTGAAAGATAAACAACTTGGAACAGGTACCCCTTCCCTAGGCTTCACTCCAAACCCTTGCTCAGGAGACCTGGACCAAAATCTACAGTGGTATAGAGTCCCTGAAGGGAACCACATTTGAGTCCTTCAGGCCCATCTGTGGTGAAGAGCAAGATCTTGTCTCCAAGGAGTGCACGGAAGAGCCCAGCCAAGTGCCTCATGTAGTTCATGTCGCAGGCTCTGTAGCTACCATATTCATTCTCCACCTACCAGGGGAAAGGAAAAGTGGCGCTCAGCTCTGAGGTGAAGGTTAAGGTCACAGGCACCTCCTTCCCCTAACCCAGCCAACTTCCCACTTGTACCTGAATGCTAATGATGTTGCCCCCATTGTGGTAGAGCCATGGATATATCTTGGGCAGCAAGACCTTGAACCAGGAGTCCACTGCGGCAAGGAAGTCTAAAGGAAGGGGCAGTGCTCTGCTCATTAGGGCACCGCCACCTCCGCAGCCCCCACCTTTAGCATCAGTGCTAGCAACTTCAGTGCTGCTTGAACTCTGAGCTGCACTTTGCATCCCACTTGCCTACAACTACATCTGGGAAGCAGTGACTTGTCAGAAGAAACTCTCAACCTTAAGCACTTGTATATTTACATGGTTATGAAATTTGAGCATAGGAAACAAAGCAGTGTTCCTCGCAAATTCATTTTTTCAAATAAACACATCATGTGTAGTGATCATTATGTAATCGTATATACTTGAGATTGCTACGAAGTAGCATGGGAATTCACAAAAGTGTAGAATGTCTGATCTGTACCTTGATATAACTGATAGTCCAAGAGATTTAAGTCTCAAATCAAAGATCATTATATTAGGCATCATGCCTAAAATTCTGTTTGTTTGGGGGGGTGGTGATTAGGTTTGTTTATTTATTTATTTTAATGGAGGTACTGGGAATTGAACCCAAGATCTCATGCATGCTAAACACTCACTCTACCACTGAGCTACACCCTCCCCCTAAAATTCTTAACTCCTACTGGTGATTTTTGTTTTGACTCATCCTCAGGGTCTTCACACACAACCTCTGCCTGACACTTTCTCCCCGCCCTCCTTACCTAAACAGCTCCAACTCAGGCTTCAGGTCTTAGTTTATATTTCACTTCCTCAAGAAAACCTTTGATGGCCTAGATGAGGGTAGATCCCCATGTCACACACTCTCACATCACCCCATACTTCCCTTTCAAGCACTTAACAAATTATAATTCAGCATTTATTTCCATAATTGTTTCCTGTTGGTCTCCCCAACTAGTGAGCAGGAACTTGTCTATCAGGTTCATTTGCTGCATCTCTGTCATTGAGGACAATCCCTAGCAGACAGCTAATTCTCAAAGGTGGATTTCATGAAAGATATCTCAGAGGCAGTTTTTGTATTCTTAAAACATGTAATTACTTTACATTTTTGTGTTCTGTATAAAGGTCTGGGCTGTCTTGCCTCCTTTAATCCAAGCATACATTAAATGTCGTTCAACAAATATTTATGGGTGCTGACTACACTGAGCACTGTTCTAGGTGTTAGGGATACAAGCTGGAAGAAAATGGACTAAAATCTCTGCCCTTGTGGAATTTCCTTTCCAGTGAGGGAGGCAATGAATTAAATAAATAGGTTAAATATGTAGTGTTTTTTAAAAATCTTTTTGGTGGGAAAATAATTAGATTTATTAATTAATTTATTATTTTTTTAATGAGGTATTAGGGATTGAACACAGGACCTTGTACATGCTAAGCACACACTCTACCACTGAGCTATACCCTTCCTTCCCCCACACTTCCCCAATGTGTTAATGCCAAGGAGAAAAGAATAAAACAGGGAAGGAGAATATAAAATGGTGAGGAGGAGGGAGCTTAAGTTTTAGATGACCTCTAAAAGGAAGGCCTCACTGAAGTGATTCTACAGTAAGATAGAGGGAGTACCACGTGCAAAGGCCTCAAAACAAGAGCATGCCTGGTGGGTTTGAAGAACAGCAGTGAAGCCAGTGTGAACAATGGAGAGAAGTGTAGATGTCAAGGAGGTGACAAGGCCAATTAGGTAGGGCACCCAAATGACCCACTTTGTTGTTTGCTTTTTTCTGTGTCAAGTCTTTTGTCTTAACTCACCTGGATCTGAGGTTCTCAGGTGAATTTTAGGATTTCGAAGCAACCAGGCTGGGATACCCCCCTGAGACAAACACAACAAAGAGGTGTGTGGGTTTCTTGTCTGGGAGTGGAGCAGGGGAGGTAAGAAGAGAGGAAGTTGAGTATAGCGATGGAAGTGGCCCTAGAGTGTGGGCAGATGGGAGTAGTCTGGGAACCACAAATGGGTTCTTCTATCCTTTCTCCAACTAACTCACCATGTCCCACTCTGCACAGATGTAAGGTCCTGGTCTCAGTATGACCAACAGATTCGCTAAAGTTGCTTCTCTCAGAAATGCAAAGAGGTCGCGGCTGCCATTAAAGTTATAAACCCCAGGCTCTGGCTCATGGTAGTTCCAGGGCACATAACTGAGAAAGGAAGAGGTTAACAGGGCCCAAGGTGGAGATGCCTGGGAGGCCTAAGGTCTTAGGCCTTGCAGGGAATCTCCAGGAAGCTGTTGGAAGGAGGTCCATGCCCACCCCTTCCCATCCTTGGTTTAGTGGCCCTGGGGCTAGAACCCCTCTCATACCAAGCCAGTCTTCCTGTCACGATCCCCTTTTTAAGGGGGTGGTAAGAAGAGTAAATCCCACCCTTCCATGGGTCTCCTGAGCACTTCTTACAACTGTATAGCGTTGAGGCCACTCATTCGCATCTTGAAAAGCCGATCCGCCCAAAGCACCCGCGGTACCCGAAAGTAGTGCAGGCTGCCAGACACGTAGCGGAACGGGGCCCCGTCCAGGAGGAATCTGTCATGATCCCGATCCACTACGAACGACCGAGAATCTGCCTGCAAAGGGAGAGACCGTGCTCAGCAGGGGTCTGGAGTCGGGGGTAAGCGTCTGCCAAGAGCAGAGGAGATGGAACTAGCCCTTCCCGATGTTTGGGTTTCACTTTCATTCTCTCCTCTGCCAGAGCTGACCCGGTCTCACGGCACCCAGCCGGCTGGTTCCATCCTCTCATCTTACCTGGGGCAGCAGCAGCAGCGTCAGGAGTGGCAGCAGTAGGGAGGGAAGGCAGAGCGGCTTCTTCGGAGCCATGACGCTTTCAGAGCTCTTCCAGTCAGGGACGGTGGTCCGACCGTCGTCACGTGGTGGATTCCTGGGAGGGAACCTCAGCGAGCAAGTGGGCGGAGACCACCCCAAGTTGCCAGGCAGTTAGCCTGAACTTTGTCTCCAGCCTGCAGCCACCCGCTACTAGTTTGTAAAATCCTCTACATCATGCTATTCAGAGGGCAGTTCACGAACCAGCTTCATCAGCATCACCTGGAAGCTTGTTAGAAATGCAGAATCTCAGATCCTACCTCAGACCTATAGAATCAGAATTTGTATTTTAACAAGACTTCCAGATGCTCTTAAGCACATTCAAGACTGAGAAGCAGTCCTCTACTAGACTGAGGTTGGGAGGGCCTTGTCCAGCCTGACTCCTCCGCTTCTAGCATAGGGCCTGGCGCATAGCAGGTTAAATCTAGATGAATGTCAGAATCAGGGGGCTAAGACAAGTCCAGAACCAAGGGAAACCAGAGGAAGACCTCCCAGTTTGTGAAAGGGGTTTGGGGGACAAGGTTACAAGAGGGATCTTTTTCCTGGAGAGGCCTGTTTCAACAAAAGAGACCATCTAGGCCATTCTATCGTCTTTGGATGTGCACCCCTTTCCAATTTATCCCTGCCTGCCTGCCTGGGCAAGAGACGTCGGGGACAACTGCTTGTTACCAAGGCTTGGAAATTTGTGAATTTCCATTACTCCTGCTTTCACAGTCCCAAGCCTGGGATGTGAGGGCCAGGGTAATAATAAGTATTATTCTTTCTGCTTATTGACACTACTGAGGACTGTGTGTCAAATACTGTGCTAAGCACTTTACATCTCATTTAATCTTCAAAAAACTCCGTGAAGTAGATGACTATCATTCACACTTAACTGATGAGAAGATTGAAAGATAGAAATATTAAGTAGCCTGCCCAAGGTCACATAACTAGTTTAGTAGAGCTGGGATTTGAACAAGGCAGTCTGGCCTCACAATTCATGCACTTAACCTTAGGTACTATTATACCTATTTTACAATTAGGGAAAGTGAAGCTCCGAGAGATTAAATAACTTGTCCAGGTCACACAGCTAGTAGGTTATTAAGATAGGATTCAGACCCCGGTCTGGTTCAAGAGCCTAAGCTCTCAACTACTGAGACTACAGTAATGGGATACAGGCCAGAGACTTCAAGGTTATACTGATCAGAGTTCTAGGGGTCCAGGCCGCCAGCACTCGCTCCTCTCAGCATTCCCTTCCAGGCTGGACCTTAGTCGGCCACCCAGCTCGCCGGAGGTATGAAGCCTCCTACCTCCGGCATTGGGGGATGGTGGTCCTGGGGGTCTCGGGCCGAGCCCGGCTTTGCCCTCCTTTGGCGTAAGTGCCTGCGTCTTGACCCCCACCGAAGGCCAGGTGTGGAACCCTCACCCGGGTCCTGTGACCCGTCCTCCCCCAGGCCTAGCCCGCGCCTGGCCTCTCAGCTCCGCGCCGCAACATCGCCCGGATGCCCAGCGGTTGCTAGGATACCGCGGACCGTTACGCCGGCGCGGACTGATGACGCGTATGTGGCTTCCGGTCCTTGGCGCTTCCTTCCAGCCTAAGCAGGTCAATCAGGAGTCCCGGCTGGCCCACCTGGGTCTCTTCGCACCGTGACCGGGAGTGGGATCTGCAAGGGGTGAGCTGGGACCTCGCACCTGCCCCCGGAACTACCCCATGCCCTGCCTTTGTGGCCTGACGGGCGTGGGATTGGGGGCCGCCCAAAGGAAGGACAGGCCTGGGAGTCGCCTCGGGGCCTAAGGCTTTGAGGCATCTGACCCCAGCCTTTTTGGAGCCGGCGTCGCCAGGGCTCTTTTGTCTAAATTCCGAGACCTGCGCCTGAACGCTCCACGTTGGCACTTCAGGGCGCTTCTGGATTGTGCCCGGCCCGCGACCCTGCCGTTCTTTTCCTTCCAGCATGATCCGCTGGACCCCCCGCGCCTTGCCTGAAAAACACCACTCAACCTGGACGAACCCTTTGGCAGCCTCCGACCGTCCTTGAGGAGGATGACTGAGACACAATGGGCCACGCGCTGTGTGTTTGCTCTCGGGAAACTGTCATCATTGACAATAAGCGCTACCTCTTCATCCAGAAACTGGGGGAGGGGTGAGTGTTTGGAAATCACTTAGCTAGTCCCCAGGTTATGGTCTTTGAAGGACAGCAGTTTGCACATGATAGGGGCACGAAGGTTTTATCCCTAGCCTTTAACTCACCTGTCAGAGCCCATCTATGTGGTGGTCAAGAAAGTGGATTGTGGAGCCAGGCCTCCTAGATACACCATGTATGACCTTTATAAACCGTAGTTTCTTCATCTGCTTATTGAAACTAATTATGCTTCACTGGCTGGGCTGTGAGGATGAAATGAGATGATGCATATTAAATGCCTTACCTACTGCCTGGCTCATAGCACTTGATAAATGTTGACTATTACTTGTTTAATATTTCTTGACCATCTGTCATATGCATAGCACTGTGTTATGACCATAGGACCTCAAAGATAACTATGTTCCTGCTCTTGAGCTCAAAATTTAATCTACAGGCTTTTAGAGCCACACCGTGGGATAGTTGCTACTGAATGGGAAAGACGCCCCCTCCCTTCTCCCTAGGGAATTCCCCTGGGTCCAAGCAGTGTGGGAGATGACCATAGTCCTTCACTGACCCCTTTGGCCCACAGTGGGTTCAGCTATGTGGACCTAGTGGAGGGGTTACATGATGGACAGTTCTACGCCCTGAAGCGAATCCTGTGTCATGAGCAGCAGGACCGAGAGGAGGCCCAACGAGAAGCAGACATGCATCGCCTCTTCCATCACCCCAACATTCTTCGCCTTGTGGCTTATTGTCTGAGGGAGCGAGGCACTAAACATGAGGCCTGGCTGCTGCTACCCTTCTTTAAGGTCAGAAAGTTTCCTGGCTGTGGAGGGGGTTACAACAGAGCCACCTTCCAAAGGCTGTGTAAGCAGTCAAGCACGTTAGGAAACTTAGGCTGTGTCCTGGTTTGAGTACTTCAGATTTGGGGTCTAGGGAATCCAGATGGGACTGTGGGATGTGTAGTGAAAGGGTTGATAGGCTTTGACATAGGGAAAGGATCGGGCTTAGGGAGCAGAGGCTTAAAAATCATCAACTGTGGGGAAACTTGTTTTGCAGAGAGGTACACTGTGGAATGAGATAGAAAAGCTGAAGGACAAAGGCAACTTCTTGACTGAAGAGCAAATCCTTCGGCTGCTGCTGGGTGTCTGCAGAGGCCTTGAGGCTATTCATGCCAAGGGTTATGCCCACAGGTCAGTGGGAGGCTCCTGTGTACTTGATGGGTAGAAAGGAAGAGCATCATCAAGAGAAATGGGAGGTCTCTGCTTTCCTCCCAAGGAACAGCTCCCTTGATTCTTTTGCACCCCTAGGATTCCATCCTCCTTGTTCAAAGATGCTCATGGGTCATTTCTCCTTCCCTGCAGGGACCTGAAGCCCACCAATATCTTGCTTGGAGATGAGGGGCAGCCAGTTTTAATGGACTTGGGTTCCATGAATCAAGCATACATCCATGTGGAGGGGTCCCGCCAAGCTCTGACCCTACAGGTAAGAGTCTCTGGGTTCCTTTGCCCACCTGTTCCCCATCCTCAACCCCTTTTGGTGCATTCCCCAATTTGGTCATGTGACCATGATTTGTGCCCCACTTTTGAACTCTGGGGCCACTGTTCCAGGACTGGGCAGCCCAGCGGTGCACCATCTCTTACCGAGCCCCGGAGCTTTTTTCCGTGCAGAGTCACTGTGTCATCGATGAGCGAACTGATGTCTGGGTGAGGAGCATGTAGGTGGGAATCTGGGTGGGGAGGAATACCACTGTGTACCTGCTGTGGAGTTGAGGAGCAGGCCTTTGGTTTGTAGTGCATGGGGCCCCAGGAACCATGTATGTCCCCATCCCCCCTTGACTTCCTTCCTGGGAACTGTCACTGACACTGTACACAGTTACTCAGGAAGTGGTATAATCCCCACCCTTTGAACAGGGTGAGTACAGCTAAGTGTCAGGGCTGCAGAGGCCTCCAGCTAACTTTCTCCGGGCTCTGGTGGTGTCATGTGGCTGGGGTTGGCATATTCTTTTTAGCTATTGTAGTCTCCTTTCACTACAGAATTAAGAGGAGAGCTTATCACCTCCATTAGTCCCCTTCCAATGAATAACCAAGTTATGCTCAGTCCCTAGGTTGTGTTCTATATGCCATGATGTTTGGGGAAGGCCCTTATGACATGGTGTTCCAGAAGGGTGACAGTGTGGCCCTTGCTGTGCAGAACCAGCTCAGCATCCCGCAGAGCCCCAGGTGAGCAAGGAAAGGAGCAGCAAGCACTTCAGGCTTCTCCCTGCCATTAGCAGGGTTGGAGCCATAGCTGCTCTCGTCACCCTGTCCTCCTCCTCCTACAGGCATTCTTCAGCCTTGCGGCAGCTGCTGACCCTAATGATGACTGTGGACCCCCAGCAGCGTCCTCACATTCCTTTCCTTCTCAGTCAGTTGGAGGCACTGCAGCCCCCAGCTCAGGGCCAGGACACTACCCAAATCTGAACAAACCAGTGACCATATAGAGGTGTCCCCTCTGCCTTGGGAAGGATTCCCATCCCTCAGTGGAATCCCCATCCATTCTATCCAGGACAACTCTCTTGTAGTTGTGGGCAGCTGGGGGTAGAGACAGCTCAGTATTCTGTCTCTGCTTCTGTTCTCTTACCCCCAAGAGCAACAACTGGAAAGGCAGCCTGACTGGGTAGGAGTGGGAAAGGGTGGGAATGGGGAGAGGGAAACTGATAGAATCTGGTAAAGGCTCTGAGCAGGACTGCTGAGCTTACATCGTGATCTGCCTCCAAATCTGGGAGCAGGAGAATGTATTCATAGAAGAATAAAGCAAAAGCAGTTTGGTGTGGTCTTAATCTCATTGTTCCTGGAGTGAGAGAAGAGGTGCATGGGGCCCGAAGTCTGGTTTCCATTTCCAAGGGCAGAGCCTAGATTGAAGAGGGACTGGCAGAGAGCCAGGAACAGTGTGACTTCATCATCCTACATATGGAGGCACATGTCCTTACCTTGGATCTGGCTGGTTGGCAGTGGGCAAGTCTTCTCCTGTCTTCTTAGTCACAGACTTAAAGCTGCTCTGGCTTGAGCTGGCTTCTATGCCAAGAATTGGGACCAAGGCCCCCTAAAAGCACACTCAACTCTTACTTTCCTTCCCTCATTCCCAGGGCTGGGAGGCTTAGTCAAAGCAGCCCAGCCGGTTTGCCAGGCAAGGGCTTCTGGGTGGAGACGCCTGAGGAAGCTTTGAGACAGCTGCATAACAGGTCTCCAGCCTCAGCCTAGGAGCAAGGGGAGTGGAGGTGGCAGCCATTTTGGCCCAGAGTCTCTCCCAGATGGTTGTAGTTCACATACGACTAATGGTTAATGGTTAATGAGGCCAGTGTGGTGTGGCAGTATCCAGCTGCCACTTCCTGCCTACTCTGCTGAGTAAACAGGGGCCCTGCCTTTGCTGAGCTTGAAACCTGTTCCCCCAGGAAGGGCACTGTGTCCGTGAATCACCAGGGAGGGGAGGCAGGGGCAGGGTTGGCATCTTCTGCTCCTGAGATTGAAGCTTCCCCTCCCCCCCACTGTGCCCACCCCCACATGCTGACGTCAGTGTGGGTCCTGGGGTGCCTATTAGCAAAGATGAAATTTTCCCCAAGGCCCTAGTAGGAGGCTCCCACCAGCTAGCACAGAGGCTGAGGCCAGAAAGAAAGCACAAACAGAGGGGAGATGACCTGACTTTTAATGGCATTGCTCTAGGCCCCAGCAAAGCAGCGGGACGGATAGTAAGCTTTGCAAAGCTGCTGGGAGGTGCAGTGACACAAACAACTCCAGGAGATCACCCGTGTTTCCTCCCATCCCCCAAGCATATGACTAGGCTCCTTGCCCAGGAACTCTGGGCCAGCTCAGCCCTACTCCCAAGCCCTTATAACACAGAGATGCCTGGGCCAAGCATTGCTTCCAGAGTCAGTGAATGCAGAGCAGCAAGAAGAATAGGGTAGCAGTCTAACTCAAATACAGAAACTGCTGGGCTTAAACTCCTACTTGGAAAGGAAGTGAAGCCTCATGTCCTTTAACAGCTGGACAGGTCCAAGATTCAGTCCTCATCTCCCCCCTATCCTGGTTGCCCCTCGGATCATACATGGGGTCATGTTTCCTGGGCGTGGCGAGGGTCCCTTGGCAGGTCTCACCTTCAGCCATGGAAGGGAAGAAGGTCATGAGCAGCAAATAGTGAGGGCAGCAGCAGAAGCAGCAGCAGCAGCAGCAGCAGCAGCACAAATAGGGAAGGCAGCAGAAGCTTACGCACTCACAGAGGGGACAAGAAACCGTGCAAGGAGACTGTTTATTTCGAAAGGATTTTGCAATAAACATAGTGAGTAGGCTCCAGGCAGCTGTTCTATTCTTCTCCCTCATCCTCATCCTCATAGGAATCGATGCCTACTTCCTCGTAATCCTTCTCCAGGGCAGCCATATCCTCCCGGGCCTCGGAGAACTCACCTTCCTCCATGCCCTCGCCCACATACCAGTGCACAAACGCCCTCTTGGCATACATCAGGTCGAACTTGTGGTCCAGGCGGGCCCAGGCCTCGGCAATGGCAGTCGTGTTGCTCAGCATGCACACGGCTCGCTGCACCTTGGCCAGGTCACCCCCAGGCACCACAGTGGGTGGCTGGTAGTTGATACCAACCTTGAAGCCTGTGGGGCACCAGTCCACGAACTGAATACTGCGCTTGGTCTTGATGGCAGCAATGGCAGCATTGACATCCTTGGGTACCACATCTCCACGGTACAGCAGGCAACAGGCCATGTACTTGCCATGACGGGGATCACACTTCACCATCTGGTTGGCAGGCTCAAAGCAGGCATTGGTGATCTCTGCCACTGACAGCTGCTCGTGGTAGGCCTTCTCTGCAGAGATGACTGGCGCATAGGTGGCCAGGGGGAAGTGGATGCGAGGGTAGGGCACCAGGTTGGTCTGGAACTCTGTCAGGTCCACGTTGAGGGCTCCGTCGAAGCGCAGGGAGGCTGTGATGGAGGAGACGATTTGGCTGATGAGGCGGTTGAGGTTGGTGTAGGTGGGGCGCTCGATGTCCAGGTTGCGGCGGCAGATGTCATAGATGGCTTCGTTGTCCACCATGAAGGCACAGTCTGAGTGCTCCAGGGTGGTGTGGGTGGTCAGGATGGAGTTGTAGGGCTCGACCACAGCTGTGGACACCTGCGGGGCTGGGTAGATGGAGAATTCCAGCTTGGATTTCTTGCCATAGTCAACAGAAAGCCGCTCCATCAGGAGTGAGGTGAAGCCAGAGCCGGTGCCCCCTCCAAAGCTGTGGAACACCAGGAAGCCCTGAAGTCCTGTGCACTGGTCAGACTGAAAGGCAAGAAAGAAAAGAGCAATATAGGTAGGGGAGGGGCCTGAGGAACTCTCATCTCTGGCTCCATAAAAGCCTAAAATATCTCAGGAGTCAGGGCAAAGGCAATGAGTATTCCATAGCCACAGCATGCTCTGGGACATGTACTACTAGAGATGACCCCTTGAAATAGATCTGAAAAAAAGATGTTCCTGACCATTACCATCATCTCAAAAGCTTTCTCCCTTCCATCCCAGATTCTCACCAGCTTGCGGATCCGGTCCAGTACTGGGTCAATGATTTCTTTGCCAATGGTATAGTGACCACGGGCATAGTTGTTAGCGGCATCCTCTTTCCCAGTGATGAGCTGCTCTGGGTGGAAGAGCTGCCGATATGGGCCATTTCGGATCTCATCTGGAAGGGCATAAACCACATCATTAGGGCATGAACTACAAGGCTGTGTGTGTTCAGCATGGACCTCCCTCCCCAAGCCTGGTAGCCGTGGTCAGATATATGGAAGAGCTCATCCTTCTGCCTGCCTGAGATACAATGTATGAGAGAAACCCAGACCTGCTGCCTAGGCCAGCCTGTGATCAGCTTGCCTTCTTTAGCTTCCAGCAGGGTAAGGGGTTCTCAGGGCCAGGAAAGTCAGATCTAGACACCTTATCTCCAGAAAGAAGCTTAGAGTCACTTTACATTCCCCTAAATTCCACCTCCTCTTCTCACCAATTACAGTGGGCTCCAAATCCACAAAAACTGCCCGGGGCACATGCTTTCCAGCGCCAGTTTCACAGAAGAAGGTGGTGAAGGAGTCATCCCCTCCACCGATGGTCTTGTCACTGGGCATCTGCCCATCCGGCTGAATCCCATGTTCCAGACAGTAGAGCTCCCAGCAGGCATTGCCCATCTGGACACCTGCCTGCCCCACATGGACTGAAATGCATTCACGCTGAGGAATAAAGAGAGGGGACACAGCATAAGCCCCACATACATAAGTCCTTATCTCATGAGCCTCTCTCCCACCCTAACACTTACTAGCTAGGATGACTCAGTTGGCAAAGTGGAGGCTTGGGGCTGGGCAGAGGTCAGAAGAGGCTGGCACCCTGCCCAGGCTCCCCTGCATACGACTTTCCAACTGGAGACACCCAGGAGGGCAGACCAATCCCTCAGCTTACTTCTCCGTGGGGACCGTGTCAAGTAAGAACTATGGCTCCACATGACCCTGCCACATTCATAGGACACTTGGGGAGGACAGAGAGGGCAAGTGCATAAGAGACAGGCAGACACTGCAGTAACTGAGAGAAGGGCAAGTGATTTTTCAGCTGTTCCCAATCCCTACTCCCACAAACCAGCTTCTCAAAAGCCTGAGAAGGAACAGAAGGATTTCCAGAGCTATGAATTTATAGCTTGAGGTCCCCCACTTGATTCTTTGCTTTGAGGAAGAGCAACTACAATTTCATATAACCCTCTCCCCCTTTCATTCTTGTGGGCTGCAGAAGTGTCTCAGCCTTTCAGTCTGGCATTGACTGACCACACTGGCCATCAGGATGCCCTCCCCCCAACTTTAAATCCCATCTGGCTCTGGGGATCAATCCCATCTGGCTGCTCTTCCCATCTCCACTCCCACCCTCTAGGTGTCTTCACCACCTTCATCCACTGCGGAGCCCTCCCCAAAATAGCAGAGAGCAAAGACGGCAGGCACCTGCAATAAGGGTTGTGAGCACTGGGGAACTAGGCTCATCCCTGCCAGTCTGAAAAATTAACCTCTGAAGAGCCAAAGTGGTGCAGCGCAGGCCGGCTTAGCCTCCCTTTTCGACACCGAAATGGCGGGGTGACGGTTTGCAAATACTCAGAGAAGGAAGCGGAACCTACGGGGAGGCCCCAGAGGTAACCCGCCTTGCCCTGGACAGATTGAGCGCCATCCTGTATCCTGGCCCAGCATTCTCCCCACTTCTAGATTCTTTCCAGTTACATCCAAGCGGAAAGCGAGGATTGGATTTCGGCCCCCGTCCCTGGGCTATAAATACCACTCCTCTACACACACCTCTTTCCCCTCCCCCCAACCTGGCCTCTGCCCGCGCGCTCTCGCTCAGCTCCAGCTGTCTCTGCCCGTCCGCGCACTCGGGCTCCTGTTGGAGAGGGTCTGGCTCGCTTCACGAGGCCGTACCCCATTCTCGCCACCCCTCCAAGCTCAGAAGCGGGGTGCTGAGTCATGGTGAGGCGCTGTGGTTAGGAGGGATGCACACGCAGTCGAAGAAAAAGAGGATGCTGGACCAAGTAATCTGACCCCCTCCCACCTTCTTGCACTAAGCACGTGTTCAGTCAGTTCCAGGGACACGGGAGTGAGGGGGAGGCTAAAGGTGGAGGGCAACCAAACGGGTCTCCCTCGCTGGCGGAAAGGACTGAGCGCGGGACCGCGTGACTCCCCTCAGGAGGGTTGGGGCGCAAATGCTTGGTGGAGCAGGAGGGGATTCCAGGAGGACGCGTCTCTACTAGTGACGAATCCCACCCCACTCCTCAGCCTCCAAAAGTGGACATCGCGGCTCAGCCGAAGACACCGGGAGGGGGTTGGGGGGATGTAAGCCCCCCATCCCCGCCACACACACACTTCCTCGAGACCTGGAACTCTGGATGGAGGACACCGAGCATGTTGGGAGGGAGGATCCCCGAAGGAGAGGGGCAATTAGAGGATCGGACTGATGCCGGCAGGGCGGCACTCACCATGGTGAGTCCGGGCGGTGGGTCTCACGTAGAGTCCGGGTGACGGGTCTCAGTGAGAACTGCGCTAGCTGCAGTGCCGCACCGCTCTTATATGCGGGGGGGGGGCGGGCCTGTGCGATCCGACCGCCCACTAGGTGCTGTGCGGCCCAGAGGCCACGCCCCCGAAGGGTAGGTTGCTGGGAGAGGTGGGGCCAGGGAGAGTCCCCTCCCCCGGACGTGCCTGCGTCCCTCACCTGTCGGACGTGGGTTAGAAGTAGCGATGGGATCTTTAACCCTTCGCTCCCGGTTTTGAGCTGACACTCAGGGCTCCTGAGCTCCGCTGTTGGGACCCAGGGCGCGGTGCCAGGGCGTGTCTGCCTGCACCTGCGTCATGGGGGCACTTGTCGCTCAGGTGTTCTGACTTAGGCCGGGTGCTGTAGAGGCTGTTTTTCCAAAGTGGCTGCAGCCAGCCTTCGCTGGTGCCCTCCCCTCCGCGCCTCCCTGGAAGCTCTGGCTGGCTGCCTGGCTCCGGTTCGCTGGTGCCCTCCCCGCCGCGCCTCCCTGGAGGCTCTGGCCGGCTGCCTGGCTCCGGCCCACACCCTGGGAACCCCTTATAACCGCATGCGGCCTGCTTGTCCCCGGCCGGTACGGCTGGCCTTCGCCAACTCCGGTGGGCGGCCGAGGACAGAGAGCTGCACAACCTGAGCCCCAGGGTGCCCATCCCTTAGGCTGCTCCACAGAGCTGAGCCCCACAGTCTGTCTTCGAGGGCTCACTCACAAAATCTGTTCCTGCTCGCCGGCTGCCCGCCGGTTAGTGGTCCCGTCATCAGCACCGTCACAATTAGCAGGCCCTTGCCGCCGCCGCCTGCTCGCTTTCCTGCTGCCAGAACCGCAGAGCTCTGGACTGAAGCCCTCAAGGCCTGGATTCGCATTCTCACTACCCTATATGACCTTGGGCAAGTGACTTAAACTCACTGAATTTTTGGTATCTTCACCGGTGAAAAGGAGACAGTGATTCCACCCTGAAAGCATTGTGAAGTATTATAGTGTTTGCTGACTCTGAAGAAGAAAAAAGAAAATGGAGATTCTGACATCATGGCTAATTTTGACTTTCCCATCCCCTTGGTCCCTAAGCCACAGGCAGGATCTGCGACCTGCATCTCAATGCCCTCAGCATTCAGGCAGAGGCCTCAGCTGAAGCTGTTCCTTCATTCTACATTTTATTTCCTTTTCTTGCAAGAATGGGCTTTTCAACCTACTTCTGCTTTACCTGACATGTGTTGCGCTTTCTAGCTGTCTCCTTTCACTGGGAAATCGTCAGAAGTGCCTTATGTGCCTATTGTCATGGTCTTAAGAAACCTGTCTCCCAGGCTAGTCGCTTGGAAGATTCACATGCCTCTCCTACCATCGTGTTTTCTAGGGCCAGGGCTGCCTGACAATACAACACAATGGGATAAAATAACTATTAATGAACAACTTTCTGTTAATGAAATAGCTAATTGACACCTTTCTTAGGCAAGGCAGGGAAAGGAATACAATGAAATATGACAAGTTCTCTTTTTCCAGTAGACTTGTCATATGGTTGGGAGAACAAGACATTTATTTAAAAAAACAAAACTGGCAACGGCATATAGTGAGGCTGCTTTGGAAACTGGGGTCATGGTCTCTACAGAATAAGGAGCCCTGGTGATTACAGAACATATGGCCTCTTGCAAGCTTCCTTGGTCCTCTTTTTCCCTTGTGCATCCCAACCCCAGCAGAATGAGTATTTTAGGAGACTTGAGCTATCTCAGGCCAAACTCTAAACCTCTTTGCCCTTCAGGTTCAGCTTCTTCCTTTGTAAAACTGGGATAATAACTTTGGACTGTGAGGATCAGATGATGTGTACTGAGAGATGTGTACATACACAGCAAAGCACTGTGGGGCAGGGGATATAGCTTAATGGTGGAGCACATGCTTAGCATGCATAGTGCATAGCTGTCTGGACTCTTAGAGCATTTTCTGCATTTATTTTAGTGTATGTAGCACACGATGCTGCAGTTACTCATATACATGTCCATCTTACTAGATGGCGACTTTGTTGAAGGTAAGCATTGTGTCTTACCCATTTTTGGGTCCCTAGTTTGTAGTATGGTGCTTAGCACATGGTAAACATTTGCAAAGTGTGTGTCAGATGAATTGTTTCACTACAAAGATGGGGCTAAAATTAGAGGAGAAACCTAGGAAACCAGAAGTTGCAAATTAGCAGCCTGGAGGCCAAATTCCCTCTCAGAAATGTTTTGTTGGCCCTCACAGTTTTAACCCCCATTGAGTTTAGAATATGGAAAAAATCAGGAATTGTCTTTGTTTGGGGCATTCCCAAGACCACCCCCCATATTAGGAGATTTGCTAGATGGACTCACAGCTAAGGTCTTTTACAGTGATAGAGGAACAATACACAGCTGGATAATAAAGGAAAAACACACAAGCAGAGGCTAAGGGGCTATATGCCCTCTCCCTCCCATAAAGGCGCACACAATGTACTCTTCCTCCAAAATGAAAATGGAGCAACATTTCCCTGCAGTGTTTCTGCCCTAGGAAGCCCATTAGAGACTCAGCACGCAAGGTTTTTAGTGGGAGCTGGTCACACAGGGACCTCTGCCTTGCACATACCAAAATTCCAGACTCCCAGAAGAAAAGCAGGCATTTAGCATAAATCATATCATTTACATACAGTCTAGGCACAGCAAACCATCTTTATCCATTAGCTGCTGACTGGGAACACTCTGAGAGCCAAGTTCCAGATGTCAGCAAAAGACCAACCTTGTGAGCAGGCCTTTCTAAGGATAGCAGTCTCAGGCCTGTTACGTTAATTCTTTTCTGCACAGTCATGTAAAAATCCAGATTTCTAGTTTATCTTGAGAAGAACTGGAAAATCTGGCTATAGTAGGCCTGCATTCCCATTTAGAAGCTGTGATAGGCAGAATAATAACTTCCTAAAGATGTCCACATCCTAATCCCTGGAACCAGTGACCGTGTTACCTTACATGGCAAAAGACTTTGCAGATGTGATTAAGATAAAGATCTTGAGATGGGGAGATTATACTAGATTTTGTGGGTAGGCCCAATATAATCACAAGGGTCCCTACAAATGGAAGAGTGAGGCAGGAGAGTCAGAGTCAAGGAAGGAGAGGTCAGATTGATGGCTTTCAGGATGGAAGGAGGTCATGAGTCAAGGAATGTGGACAGCCTCTTGATGGAAAAGGCAAGGAACAGATTCTCCCCTAGAGTCTTTAGAAAGAAGGCAACCCTGCCAACACCTTGAGTTTATCCCTAAATAGTTTTCCAGTTCCAATGGGGTGGGGCTCCCCCACCACACCACCAAGCAGTTCTGAGACACCAACAGGGTGTTCGAGAATACAGCTTTCTGCCAGGAGCTAGCATCAGATTCCACAGGTTAGGGGTTCAGTTCTACAAGACTGTCCTCCCACCCCTACCCTCCACTTCAGATGCCAGTTGCAAGTTCAGGTTGCCACTTGTACTTCTTTTTGTTTTGTTTTGTCTTGTCAGGGGGTACTTAGTGTTGTTTGTTTGTTTATGTATTTATGTATTTATTTATTTAATGGAGGTACTGGGAATTGAACCCAGGATGCTGTGCATGCTGAGCATGTGCTCTATCACTGAGCTTTACACTCTCCTCTTGTTACCTGTACTTCTGACTGACTGGCTATGAATTAGAGGTTACCACCACCTCCTCCTTGGGTTCAATTAATTTGCTAGAGAGGCTCACAGAGTTCAGGGAACATTTTACCTACTAGATCACTGGTTTATTATAAAAGGATATAAGTTAGGAGCAGTCAGATGGAAGAGATGCATAGGGAAAGGTATGGAGAAATGGTGCAGAGCTTCCATGCCCTCTCTAGGCATGCCAGCCTCCCATCACCTCCATGTGTTCACCAACCTGGAAGTTCTCTGAACCACATCCTTTTGAGTTTTTAATGGAAGCTTCATTATGTAGGGATGATTGATTAGATCACTGAACATTGGTGATTGAACTCAATTTCCAGACCCCTCCCCTCCAAGGAGGTTGGAAGGGGATAGTGGATCTGCCCCTCTAATCACTGGGTTGGCTCCACTGGCAAGCAGCCCCCATCCTTAGGTGGGTCCAAAAGTCACCTCATTAACATAAGAAAAGACAAGTTTTGATCACTGCCAACACTTGGGAAATACTAAGGGTTTTGGGAACTGTGAGCCAGGAGGGGTGGACAAAGACCAAATAATATATAAGAAATACATTTTGGTCATCTAAGTAACCAAATATATATTTTTCTTATAAATCATAATATTACAATCCCCTTAAGACCTATTTTGGACTTCTGATCTCCAGAACTGTAAGATAACAAACTTGTGTTGTTTTAAGCTACTAAGTTTGTAGCAATTTGTTACAGCCAGGATAGGAAACCAATGTAGCAACAAATGTACCAAGTGGTGGCTACCTCTTAGGATGGGCAACAAGCTGCTTCAGTTCACCCAGTCCTCACCATTCTGAGTCTCCCTGACACAGAAGACCAATGCCTGTTGCCATTTAATATCATATGCTCAACCAACATCATATATTTATGTTACCCTGGCCCCTGTAGCAAGGAATTCACAATCCCCGAGCAGGTGTTCTGGAAGGGGAAATGGAGAAGAGAGGGTGCAGGGAAAACTGCCCAAGGTGTGTTGATGGAATATAGATTCTGCTTCTGATGGTGCAAGTGTGTTTGAATGTGCATGCTCGTGCATGTACGTGCATGACTATGAGTGTGTATGTATCTCCTCAGGATAAATACAGATCTCCTGAATTGGGGCCATAAGCTCTGGCTAGGTGTACAGGTAATAGTCCACGTTACCAGATAGAAAATTGTTAGACATTCACATACATGTACAGAATCTAGAAGATGATATGAGGCACTTCTTCACTGTTCCCAATGCTTAGTTCATTGCTTAGCTCATCTACCCTACATGAGTGTCCACTCTCTCTTTGGATCTCTCTCCCTCTTCTCCTTGCTCATTGCTCGCTCCATCTTTTCTAACCTCTTCTCAGAGCCTCACCTCCATCTTGGAGCTGTGCAGCAAGGTCCTCAAAGTTTAAAATGTCTTTACTGATTCCATCTACCAGCTGTCCTTCTTCTCACAGAAGCATCTTTCCAAAGGGATATCTCCGTGTCTTCTCTCCTCCCCACTGTTCACTGAGGCTTGCTTCACATGCTCCACTGAGATGTTCTTGCAAGGGTTTCTAGTGACCTCCATCTTGCCAAAGCCAAAGGTCACACCTCTCTTTCTTCATCTTTCTCAGCCACTCAACAGTGTTTGACACAGTTGATCCTTACTTCATAGTGTTTCATAGTTGAAACACTTCTTTCTTGGCTTCGATGATGCCCCCTCTTCTGGTTTTTTCCTTGCCACTCATTCATTGTGGTCTTTGATGGCTTATCTCTAAAGGGTGCTCAGTCCCAGGCTCCCTCTTTTCTTCACGTGTTTTTCTCCCTGGAGGAGCAATTGTTGAAGGTGGGTAATGAGTATATTGGGTTTTATTATATTATCTCTGCTTTGGGGTATATTTTTAAATGTCCCTAATAAAAAGTGATTATAACATTACTAGGGTTATCCAAAAAAGGGTACCTAGAGTATATACATTTCCAGACTGTAATGCAAGAATAGAAGAAAAAGAAAGACATATCACCTATATGCTGAGAACTCTCAAATGTATACCTCCATTTTGGACCTTTCTTCTGAATTCAGGCTCACATGACTATTTGCCTTCTTGACATCATACCTTGAAAGCCCCATTAGACATCTCAAGATAACACACTCAAAGTAGAACTCTCAATATACTACCCTCATCACACTCCCTGTCAAACCTGCTTCTGTCCTAGGCTTCTGAGCCTGAGTAAACAGTATCACCTTTCACCCAAGTGCTTAAGTTAAAAACCTAGAATCACCCTGCATTTCTTTCTTTCCCTCTTTTCTTCCCCTCTTTTATTAGTTAGAATGTTTTGGCTTCAAGTAACGGAAAGCCTAAAAACCAACAGCTTAAACAATGGGGATATTTATTATCCTGCAAGAAATCTAAGTGTAGGGCGGTTCCAAGCTTGATTCGGTGATGTCATCAATAGGTCTGGTATTTCCAGCTTTCTGCTCTGGCATCCTCAATGGGCTGGTGACATCTTCTCTCCTGATCATAAGATGGCTGCAGCAACTCCAAGTATCATACCCTAATATGACACCATCCTGAGGCAGGAAAAGAGGGTTTCCTCTCGCATCTTTTTTTATCAGGGAGAAAAGCCTTTCCTTAAAGCACCCTAGCAGACTTTCCCTTATATCTCACTGGCTCCATGCCTAAACCAGTCACTGGAGGGAGTGAATGGAATTACCACGAATGGTTCAGACTAACCTAGACTCACCCCTAGGTCTGGGGAAAGGCCATCTTCCTTGAACAAGTGGAAGGGTGAATAATTATACCAAATCAGGACCATGCCAGCAAAGAAGAAATGGAGGCAGGGATCAGGTAAGGCTATTGGGTGGGTCTGCACACCCTACATTAGCATGTCTTATTAAACTACTTCAAACCCAGCTACTTCCCCTATCCCCCCTCTAGTCCAGGCCACCATCCCCTCCTTTCAGGATGCCTTCCCTAACTTCCTCACTAGCTTCCTGCTCCTACTCTTAAACCCCTATAAGGCATTCTCCACATAGCAACTGCAATAATCTCTCTAAAACAGAACACAAAGTAGGCAATGACACTTGCTTAAAACTCTCCCACTGCACATGTAATAAAAGCCATTCTCCTCCCAGGCCCCTTTACATGATCTCATCTTGCATGGCTCCCTCCCTCCCTCCATCCTCAGCTTCCCTGAACAGCCAGGCTTGCTGCTTTGCATTCAAAATTCTCTCTGCCTGGAGCACTAAGATCCAGACCTTGCCGTGGCTGACTCCTTGTCATTCCATTCAAACATCACCTTCTTCAAGAGCGGCTTCCTCTCAATGGTAGCCCCCCATCTCTTTCTGTGCCATTATCTTGTTTTGTTTTCTTTGTGTGTTCATTACTACCCGAAATTACTGTTTGTTTAGTTATTATGTCTTCCTATGAAAATGTAAACCCCTTAAAACCACCACTTTTTGTCCACCACTGTATCTCTGGCACCTGGAACAGTGCTTGGCACATAGCAGACACTCGATAAGTATTTATTGAAGGAATGAAGAGTATTGACTACCTCTCATTTTATAACTTAAATACATTAATATGCTGTCAAAAATCTCCGTCTTGTTACTCTGTTTTACATAAGACCCCTGCCTCTGCCTGCCTTGAGGATAATTTTCTTTCCAGAATTGGCGTTGTCTGTGTTGACTCTGAGATGCCCAACTTTGAAGATCAGTTGGGAGAAGTTGAAGTGCTAGCAGGAGACTTTTGGGCCCCAAATCCATCCATATGAATTGTAATTCTTGAGGTCTATGACTTCATGGATCAACCCAGTGTAAACTGAGCTTCCTTACCTTTGCAGTGTTGGTTGACTGTGTCTTCTCTCTGGGGATCTTGGTCTCTTAGTTTCAGGTAGGAGAGAGAAGACTTCAGTCCATAGCTCAAACCAGAGTTAACCATCTTGAAATTCTGGGTCACACCTTGGTATACTGTGATGAGAAAGGCTCTGAAAAAGCCCCAACTTCAAAATAACTCTCTCACCATTTGCCACAGTGACTGAAAAAAATTCACATTAGCAACTACTTCCTGGATAGGACTGTTAGATAAACTTCTTTTATTTGCTAAACCTGGCATTTCTATTTCTGGTCATGGCTGTTCGCTGGAAGTGTGACTAAAGAGATGTAATGTGGTTTCCAGGTAGCATTAGGGGCACTTTGAGGTTAGTGGTCATGCATTTGAAGTCAGATCAGTCAGTATGGTCCTGGGATTTTCTACTGCCACTGTTTAACTGGGTCAATGCATGCACAATTGGTGAAGAAATGGATTTAACCAGGGTTGTGATTTAGTCACATGAGGAAGCTGAAACTAGAGGGAGGCAAGGGAGTGGAGGGGTATGCAAGGGAGTGAGCACAACTGACCACAGAAGTTAAGATGGGAAGGACTGAAATAAAGGCACAAGAGGAGGAGGAGACACTGTAAAAACTCTGCCATGTGGAAAGGAGAGAAGCACCAAACCTGAGTCCCAAAAGAATCTTAATTTCACTGCTAATGAACACCCATGTGACCTTGGGCAAGACACAAGAGGCTTCCATTTCCTTTTCTTCCTCTGAGAGTGGAGGCCCTGCCTTGCCTACCTCACAAAATTGTTGAGGGACTCAGAGGAGATAAGGGGTGATGCTGCCTGAAGAACTACACAGCAGGATACAAATGTGAGAAGGTAACAGTTTTATCTCATAATTTTTTCTAAGGCCAGAAGACGACTCCTTCTGTGAGAAAATAAGGCCAGGCTAGACCAGCAAAGACCTGCACTGGAACAGGGAGACACACTTAGTAAAGCCCTGAGCCTCTGCTCAGCATCTTGTTTTGCCCATGGAGAACAACATCAATTCTAGACTAAGCACCTAAGAAAGTTTATCTTGTTTAATCTCACAATACAGACGAGAAGACTGAGGCAAAAGAAGATGGGGCTAAAGCTGATCTCTAGTTTCCGCTGTTCTATGATATTCTGAGTTTCCACCCAGGAGGCCTCCTGTCGATCTCTTGCCCGAGGACTCATTATTTCTGGTTCACAGCAGACTCTCCTTAGCACCCCATGCCCACCTTTACTTCCAATCCTCACCCACACTGGGGGTGGGGGTGGTGCTAGAGCTCAGGAGGCTTGATTTCTAAATCCTCTCCCACCTGCGAGGGCCAAGCTGTGCCTCCAGGAAGCAGGGTTGTGAGGCTGAGCAACAGACACCTTTTGCCCTGGGGCCTGGATGCGTGGAGCTTCCAGCAGGCCCCTCCTCTGCCCGCCCCACCTTGCTCCCCTGCTTGGACCCAGGCCCGGGCCCAGTGCTTGCCTGCTGCCTGGGAACCAAGTCAACAGGCCTGCCCTCCTGGGGCCGTTTCTAACAACATTCCCTCCCTGAGAACAAGCCAGAGAGTATAAGGAGGCCTGCGGCTGTGGGTCCCTCACAGACCTGTCCCTGCCTTCCATCTCGCAGCTGACAGACAGACAGACAGACTCCAGCCAGCCCCCAGCCAGGCAGAATGGTGAGCAGGGGTGAGGGCCAAGCATGATAACGAGGGTCCCATGGGTCCAGATGTTCATGAGACTACAGTGTGTGGGCAAGTGAGGTGGGGGAGAGGGACAGAGACTTCCAGATGTGAATGTAGCCCCCCCCAAATGTACTGGTATGTGGGGGAATATTCAGGGGGTGGAGAAGGACATGTGATGGTAACTAAGATATGGGTCTGAGCCTAGAGCTACTGAAGGGCTCTGAATTTAGGGGTAGGGAGAGTAGGGTGAGCAGGACAGGAGCAGAAAGTGCAGGTGCTTTCCTGCAAACCTTGGGCCCCTATTGGCCTCTGGTTCCACCTCCCAGCTGTAGGGACACGACTTCATAGCCCTGTTCTTCTGCTGTGCCTTGGTTTGACCCCCTTATTTCAGTTACATATCACTGGGGAGAGGGAGGAGGGGAGGAGGAGGAGGGTGCTCCCAACTATTGAGAGCTGGTTGTGCGGGGGGCTCATCTGATATCTTTACCTGTTTTGCCACCAGGCAGGAAAGAAGAGCGGTTATGAGCATGGTTGCAGCCAGGCTGTCCCCTCTCTGAATGTTCCTGGTTTTACTCATGACCTTGAGCCAGTTGCTTGACCAGAGAGTCAGTTTCTTCATCTGTAAAATGGGGTAACAGAAACACCTACCTAAGGGGGTTGTCGTGAAGATTAAATGAGATAATGTAAGTGCAGCCCTTAGCACAGTGCCTGGTGCCTAATTAATGCTTAATATATGGAACTAAACAACCTAATGACAAAGCCTGCTGCGTATGAGATTATACTATTTTCATAGTCCAGAAAAGGGAATCAGAGCAACTGAGGTGAAGAAACTTATCCAAGATCCTAGAGGGATGGGGGTTTGAGGCCAAGTCTGTGTGATTGCAGGGGCTGAGTTATTTGCCCAAACCCAGAATAAGGGGCATTGTTTCCAGCATCTGAGGCATACCCCAGGTCAGAGACGCCCTGGTGGGCCAGCAGTTGTGGGGCCCAGGATGGTGTCTGACTTTGTACACAGAGCCTGGGCAGGCTCTGAGGTGCAGTGGTGGGCTGACCTCGCTAGGTGATTGGTGAGCCGAGTCAGCCCTCTCTCCTGGACTTGGGAATTTCTGGAGCCCTTTGTCCTTAAATCCCTTTCTCTTACTATAACACTAGGGCTTGGGGGATGGGGAATTTGTTAGGCGACCCAACAGGAATGGAGCATCTTACTGTGTGTCATGCAGTGAGTCAGGCAACTTGCATACATTCTTTCGTTTAATCCTCAGAGTAATTCTAGGAGGAACCTCTTGTTATCACCCCATTTCAGGGGAAAGGACACCCACAGAGAGGATAAGACTCTTGCTCAAGTCAAGTAGAGAAGTAATGGGGCTGGGATACAGATGGTTTATGTATTAATCCCAGTCATCTAAAAATCCAAAGAAGTCAAGGCCCTTTTGTCATATTTACAAAGTCAGTGAAGTATTAAATTTATGGGGAAAGCATCCACATTAAAAATTATGAAATATTTCAGACATGCAAAAAAGTATAAAGGATAATATAATGAATACCTGCTACCCAGCCTTAAACACTTTCTATTTCTTAAAAGTAGAATCTTTTTCCGATTGCAGTCATCTCCCTCCTCTACCAGAGAGAACCATTATTCCAAACTGAATGTTAATATTTTCCTGTGCTTTCTTTATTTTTATAGCAAATACAAAAATGTATCTGTAAATGATGCATAGTATCATTTTATAAGTTAAAGATTTATGTAAATGGCATCGTATGAGTATTCTTAATAGGCTTTTTTTTTGATAAGAATCTTTTTAGTTAAGATTCTTTCTTGTATTCATCCACTTCTACTTCCAGATCATTTTTGATCCATTTTCTCCTGTTGGAGGAGGACATTTAACTGGCTTCTGTTGCTACAGTGCTGTGACTGTTCTTGCACATGTTTTCTTGGTTCCCTGTGTGAGAATTTCTCTAGAGCAAGAGCATCTTCTTCTTTCCTGATATTGCCAAATCACTCTCCTAAAGAGATACATCACTTTAGGCTGCTACCAGCTGTGTGAGAATTCACATTTCTCCACATGGTTAAGCCTTAGAGTTTGGGGGAAATTTGATGGATGTGTTCGTTTTGTTTTTAAGGTCTGCCATAAATACTTCTCAAGCAGAGCAGGGAGACACACTCTGGGATCCCACTTACCACACTGTCACATGTCTGTTAACATATGAAACTCTCCTTTCCCTAGATAGAGAGTTTCTTAAGCGCAGGAACAGGGTATTATGTGTATGTATCCCCAGTGTCCACACAACATCAGACACATAGTTGAGGCTCAACAAATGATGAAAGCAAGAGGGTCAAGTCTTTTTGATGTTCACGGGGCTTCCCAGGAAGGGCAACGTGCTTCCTCTTCTCTAGGACTAAGCAGGTTATCCCAGTCCTGCTTCAGGGGCCAAGAGTTCTTTGGCTACTATCCTTGAATCATGTTGGGAAGAACTTTCTTCCCAGCCCCACTCCACTCCAGAACCACGCACACCTGAGAGGAAAGAACAGCAGGTGCACAGCCACTCCAGGCCCACTTTCCCTTCCTCACTGGCATTTCTAGCTGTAACATGAATCCAGAGTCCTTTCTCCTTTTCTGAACCTCTTCCTTATCGCTGACCCCTGAAACTTCACTTGGATCTTGCCTCCCTCACCACTGGCTCCTAATTTCTTTCTGGACGTGGGTGGGTTGACTATTCTGCTCTGTCAGACTGATCTGAGCCCCTCAATGTTCCTCAAAGCACTTAGTCACTGAGCAAGACTCTATAATCAGAACCAGCTACATCTTCTGCTTCCCCTGAGGGTTTTGGCACAGTTCCAGGAGCCAGTGCCTCTTGGTCCTCAATTTACCACCAGTAAATGCTTAGACAAGGGAGGTGGGTCCAAGAGAGCAGAGTCCAGGCACTTTTGCTCTTAGCCAGAGAACCACTCAAGGAAGGAAGGCAGGAATCATATCCAGACACTATACGCTTCTCTCTGCCCTTTGCCCACTCAGCGTGAGTGCATCTCAGTCCACGTGGGGCAGGCCGGCGTGCAGATTGGCAATGCCTGCTGGGAGCTCTACTGCTTGGAACATGGGATCCAACCAGATGGGCAGATGCCCAGCGACAAGACCATCGGGGGAGGGGATGACTCCTTCAACACCTTCTTTAGTGAAACTGGGGCTGGAAAACATGTGCCCCGGGCAGTGTTTGTGGATCTGGAGCCCACTGTGATCGGTGAGTGATGATCAGCCCTGCCATGGCCTTGTCCCAGGTACCACAGCAAGTCCTTCTCCTTAACTGGAGAGCACTGAGTTTGTGGTTCCCAGTTCCTGAAGCCAGTTAGAATTCTTGATCTGCTGTCACTCAGCTGCAAAGTCTCAAGATCATTTCACATCTCTTTCCTCCTCACTGAAGAACTTAAAGGGCAATAGCAGCAGTCTGAATGGGGTTCCTCTAGGGTAGGACTTGGTACTGTTGGCTGCACCCCTTTTGGGTATCCTGGGGCTCTGGGAGCCAGGATGTAAGGGGAAGGGGGCCTAAAACTCTGCTCACTCTAGATGAAGTTCGGACGGGCACGTACCGCCAGCTCTTCCATCCAGAGCAACTCATCACTGGCAAGGAAGATGCTGCCAATAACTATGCCCGAGGTCACTACACCATCGGAAAGGAGCTCATCGATCTGGTGCTGGACCGGATCCGGAAACTGGTGAGAGAAGAGCTGAGGGCTGGGGAAGAGGGAATCTGAATTCCTGTTGTGAAGCGGTCTGAAGACCAGATCAGGAAGGGCAACTTCCATCCTTGGGAGAGCCTCCTGGACAAGTCTTAAAGACAGAGAATCAGGACTGGTGTGGAGGGGAGGCAGAGTGTGGGCTCCAGCCTGGAGCTGGGTGTCCTCTTTCTCTCCTACAGCGGCTGGCCTGATGCTGGGCAGAGTGGCCATGAGTGCAAACCTGTTTATAGGCTGCTCTCCTAAGCTATGGGAGCCCATAAACATTCCCAGAATATCCCTTTGTATTGTAGGGATGTAGGCAGGAGGCCCTGTGAAAAACAGGGATCCAAACAATGCCGGCCCAAGGCTCTCTGATCGACTTCAGCCTCCAGCAAGGATGGGGATCAGGTTCCTGGGTTGTTGATCTCAGAAAAGAAGTCTTCCAAGGATTTTATGAAACTTTTGGGGAAATCTGAAGCAGCACAAGCTGGTTCTTCCCTGTTTTTCAGCTGTGCTTCATATCCCACACTCTCTCTGCCTTCACTATCTAGGCTGACCAGTGCACAGGACTCCAAGGATTCCTCATCTTCCACAGCTTTGGAGGGGGCACCGGCTCTGGCTTCACCTCACTCCTGATGGAGCGGCTTTCTGTTGACTATGGCAAGAAATCCAAGCTGGAATTCTCCATCTACCCAGCCCCGCAGGTGTCCACAGCTGTGGTCGAGCCCTACAACTCCATCCTGACCACCCACACCACCCTGGAGCACTCAGACTGTGCCTTCATGGTGGACAACGAAGCCATCTATGACATCTGCCGCCGCAACCTGGACATCGAGCGCCCCACCTACACCAACCTCAACCGCCTCATCGGTCAGATCGTCTCCTCCATCACAGCCTCCCTGCGCTTCGACGGAGCCCTCAACGTGGACCTGACAGAGTTCCAGACCAACCTGGTGCCCTACCCTCGCATCCACTTCCCCCTGGCCACCTATGCGCCAGTCATCTCTGCAGAGAAGGCCTACCACGAGCAGCTGTCAGTGGCAGAGATCACCAATGCCTGCTTTGAGCCTGCCAACCAGATGGTGAAGTGTGATCCCCGTCATGGCAAGTACATGGCCTGTTGCCTGCTGTACCGTGGAGATGTGGTACCCAAGGATGTCAATGCCGCCATCGCTACCATCAAGACCAAGCGTACCATCCAGTTCGTGGACTGGTGCCCCACAGGCTTCAAGGTTGGTATCAACTACCAGCCACCCACTGTGGTGCCTGGGGGTGACCTGGCCAAGGTGCAGCGAGCCGTGTGCATGCTGAGCAACACGACTGCCATTGCCGAGGCCTGGGCCCGCCTGGACCACAAGTTCGACCTGATGTATGCCAAGAGGGCGTTTGTGCACTGGTATGTGGGCGAGGGCATGGAGGAGGGTGAGTTCTCCGAGGCCCGGGAGGATATGGCTGCCCTGGAGAAGGATTACGAGGAGGTGGGCATGGATAGTGTGGAGGGGGAGGGAGAAGAGGAAGAAGGAGATGAATACTAAGGGAATCCTCTTGTCTGTCCTAAATAAAGTTCTGTGGCCTTACTGTCTCACAAATGTCTTTTTCTCTTGGGAAAAACCATTGGAGGGGGGAGGGCTTTTCCTTTGTAAGAGATAGGAAGGCTGTATCTTACCCTGGTTCCCCAGAAAGCAAATCTGACTTCAGATTTCATTACACAGTGCAATTCCAGGGAGCAGAATGGGAGCCAAGGCAGGTAAAAGCAGAGAAGGAAGGAGAAGTCACCCTAGAGAAGATGTAGCTGGACAAATGGCATCTCAGAATCATTCCTTGGGAGAGTGGGCAGGAGAGGAGGTGAGGGTGGGGAACTTACACACTGGCTCCATTCTTCCATTGGTTACACCTTGACCCCATCAGATATTAACTCACCTGCACTTCCAGGTTGCACACACTTGGGGCTACAGGGTCAACAGAGAAACCCTGGGGCAGAAGGTAAGGCACTGTTAAATTGTCCATGTACAAAACCTGGTGTGAGTTGCACAGGGCTGCCACAAGAGCCTGGTGAAGCCAGGGGATCTGAAATGGTGCCTTTAGAGTAGTTGATGTAGCTGGTGCTCACCAGCCCACCCTCCTGTCCTTCAGGTAGGAGGTTTGTGTGTAGAGTCAGGATGCCAGCATTAAGGCAGAGCAGTGGCACAGTGGCAGCAACAATGGGGAAATGGCTGGGAGTCAGGGGTGGGGGACTTACGTCCCTGTAAACTCCATCACACCCACCACTTTTTGATAAAGACAAATGACCTTTCTTTAAACCTATGCCACATGTACAGCTTTAAGCCCCCACTTGCAACCAGATGGCTGCCCCTAAAATCCTTGTATGTGGATTTTCTGTAGCGCCTGTTGTGCTGGAGGAATGGTTTAACCACTGGAGGTGCTGGAATTAGGGCAATCCCCACCCTACCCCCAGCCCCAGAGAGATGCAATGCTCACTGTTGCCCTGGCCTCTGTCTTTCCTGTAGTGTCCCATTCCCAGGACTGGATGCTGTGACGGAAACCCAAAAGTCAGCAACATCAGGAAGCTGCTATCACCTTAGGACTGGAGGAATCAAGGGATGAGATGATGATGCCAGAGCCTAGGAGGTGGGGTGGCTAGGTGGGAGTTGGAGCCACAGTGGAACTAACCAAAGAGAGCAAGAGGGCCAAGGAAGGAGGGGCATTTGGCAGGGTTCAGAGCCATGGAGGAGACACAGCACTGCCTGAGTTCCCTCTGACTTTGGTAGAAGGGGAGAAATATCCTGGCTTCTCCCTTCCTCCCCTCCTGAATCTCCAGTCAGTGGTTCCCATTGGCTGAACCTTGACAGCAGCTAGTTGGTAAGAGGGAGCCTAGGAAAAAGGAGGTGCAGCCTGTGATATACAAAGCCAGGCAGGGAAGGTGGGGCGTGGATCTCAGAGAAAAGAGGCAAATAAAACACATACCGGCACACACCCGTACCTGGGTCTAGCACAGGATGGCCCTCAGGTAAAACTGGAAATGGAGTGACTCCTCCATTTCCCCATCTGGTCCCCCTCTCCTGTCCCTGTCATTCATCTCAACAAGTATTTTGTAAGTAGAGGATGGAGTGGAGGCAACAGGATAGCGGGGCATTTAGGGGAGAAAATGGGCACACCCAGCCCAGCAGCCTCCTCCGTCTATTTTTCAATGATTTGCCCAGAGAGAGCAAGTATTCTCAATGCCTCAGTGGGGATTCTGGCTGACAGGGGAAGCTCCTGGAAGACAGAGGCCTGCAATTGTGTGTATAAGTGTATGTGTTGTTGGGGTAGATGGATAATTTAACTATTCTATTTCAGAGCCCATTTTGGCTGAATAGCTAGGCTATATCCTCTAATTTGTTTGTTTGTTTGTTTGTTTGTTTGTTTGTTTCTCTAAAACAGCTGACTTTCAAATCTCAGTCCTATGTCTTTCTCTCAACTGGCTTCAAACTCGGGGAAGGAAGAGGGATTATTTTGGGAGCCTTTCAAACCACAAGACATTGCTGTCATTTGTTGAGCACATACTGTCTACAAGGCCCTGCGTCCATATTATCTTGTTTAATTCTGAGGTAAATACAGTTATGACACCCACTGGGCTAGACACTCCGCGGGAACAAGGCTTGCTCTACACTCAGCACCCACAGTGCTGCCCGACACATAGTAGATTCTCAATAGTTATTAAATAGACTTGTGTAGTGAATTCCCATGTTATCGATGGGGAGACTGAGGCTCAGAGAAGTCATGTGACTTGCACAAAGTTACTCAGCCAGTTAAGTGGAAGAGTCAGAATTTAAACCTCAGTCAGCCTGAGTCAAAGCTTATGTTGTTGCCCTTCTCTTTCTCAGGTGTCCTCCCCTCCTGCCCGCAGCAGGTCCAGGCACCCTTCAAGGTGCCATGTCTTCTGGGTCTTCCAGGTCCCCAGTGCTCAGACAGTGACTCAGGTGCCTTGAAGGCAGGGACAGGGTGGTGCCTGACACTCCCCTGCCCAGGCACTGTAGCGGAGGGTGTGTGTGTGAGACGGGGTGCAGGGACCCAGCTTCTGACACTGAACAAGGGCAGAGGTGTCTTTGGGGCCAAGTTTTGAGGCTGTCAGTATCCTCTGATAGCACCATCCTCCACTGACATCTCGAAGGAGGTGAGGGGAGGGCTTGGGAGAAGCCAAGAGGGAGGTCTCTGAGGGATGTGAGGTCTCCACCTGCCAAGATGGCTGGGTATCCACAGACGTCACCAGGCTCCCCTCCTGAGTATTGTACCAGCCAACCCACCCTGGGCAGCTGGTTGGCCATCTCCTCTCAGCTAGTAACTCTGGGCAAGCACTGGCAGGCCTAGGTTGGACTGGGTGTGGGTGTCGGGAGGTGACAAACCAGATCTCCATGGAGCAGCTGGAAGCACCACCCAGCCTGGTTCCTGGGGACTCCCTTGGTGCAGGGGAATGCTTTCATCTCTGATGCTTCTAAAGCCAGGGTACAATTACCTCCTGCAGGCAGATGGAAGAGACAGTTCCCCAACCTTGGATTCCACCCAGTACATTTATTCCCTCGCCTCTGATGTGTCAGGAACACGCCTGCCTCCAAAGCTGCATTGCCTCCTTCAGGGACGCCACCTCCCCCTGCTTGCCTCAATGTTGCCATTCTTCCCAGCTTAGGTCACAGTTACCCAGACCTATCCAGCCCTGGAGACCTCTCCTACCTCTAGATTCTCGCCCCTACTGGCTGTCTCCATCACTCACTTAGTACTAGGCATGGACTGCCTTGGACCGTAACATTTAATTTCTTGCTGATATCCTATTCCCCTAGCTAGCTTTTAAAAGATTATGTATGTATTTGACCAGTTATTATGTGCACATGCTTTGGAATTCAAAAGGGATCAAAGAGGTTTACAAAGAGCAAAAATAAATCTCTGCAGTGAAAATAAGTCCCCTTCATTTGTTCCTCTCTTGGCAGCCACCATTGTTCACTTTTTGGTTAGTGTTTTCTTCCAGACATCTATGAAGAAACTAATGTGTCCACACATATTTAAATACCCTTTTACATCTTTCGGTTAACAATAAATCTAGAAGACAGTCCGTATCATTACATATACATATGCCTCCATATTTTTGGTGACAGTATAGTATTCCATTCTATAATGTACCATTGCTTATTTAACCAGTCTGCTATTATTGGGTATGTAGATTGTGTCTAATCCTTCGGTATTGAAAAGAATCCTGCAACATTTGTACCTACTTCTTTGCATCCATGTACAACCATGAATTATTAGAATTGGCATTACTAGGTCAAAGGCTATGCATCTTTAATTTTGATATACTCCATATTGCTCTCTTTAGAAGCTGTATCCAAATTACCCCTCCCACTACCAATATATGAGAATGTCTGTGCCCACAGCCTTGCCCATGCAACATATTAAACTTTTTTTTGATCTTTGTCAATCACCCAGTGAGTGAAAGTATTTTGTTGTAGCTTTCTTTTATAATTCTTTTCCTATGAGTGAGACTGAGCATCTTCTGATGTTTAAAAGCCAGTATCGTCTCTTCTGTGCCCTTTGCCCATTTAAAAAAAATGTCATTGTTTGTCTTTTATGAATTTATTGGAATTCTTTGTGAACAAAGGGAATTAACCCTTTGTTTGTTAGATGTGTTCCATCTAATTTCTTTCACTTGTTCCTTTGTCTGTGTCCCAATGTGATTTTCATCTCCCTGGGTACAGGGACTATAACTTAAACCTCTTTGTATTCCTATTCTTAATACCACATACATGGTAGGTGCTAGACCAATGTCTGTTGAGATAAGAGAAATAAGACAAAAGATAGAGATTTAGAAGATTTAGGAGTGACCCAACCTAACCTATTTTTCATCTTATACCAAGGTCAGTCAGGACTTCTGTTGGAAACAGCAGAAACTAACTCTGGCAAAATAAAAAAGAAAAGGAAACACACACACTCAAGTTGGAGAGATCCTGGTTAGCATACAGAATCAATATGAGGGCTGTCAAGCAAGGCTCCACAAACAGGTAGATACCATGAGAAGCTGGGCAACCAGCACCACAGTCAAGGTCAGGGCCTAAAAAACCCCTGTCCCCTCCACCCACTGCAGTGGGGCCTCTTCCCACTCAGGCACTGAGGCTGACATTTCCTCCTCCAGACAGTAGAGGCCGCTGCTGGCTCTGCTGCCACCACTGCAGAAATGAATTCTCAACTGCCCCAGCTTCTCTCTGACTTGCTCCAGATTCAAAATCCCAGTTGGAGCTTTCAGCTGGCAGAATGTCCAGCTTTTGCCTGCCCCCCTTAGAGCTAGGATGTCTGGGAAAGCGAGGGTTGGATTTTGTGGCAGGTAGTGGCCTGCCTCCCATCAAAGCCTACGCAATGGGAATTTGCCAGATGTAGGTAGGTAAGAGGCTCCTAGACTGCAAGCAGCTAGGAAAACTGGACAAACTCATACCACGCTCTTGTCTCATGTCTGTCTCAAGCCTTTCCTTTTGGTGAAGCATTTCTGGGTCACCCAGCCTGAAACACTCTGCTGTATTTGCATAATCATTATTGCTTGGGGCAGTCATGATGCCAGAGAGGATTTGTACTAAGACCTACTATGTAGCACACCTCATTTGATTTTCAAACAGCCTTAGGCATTACCTGTATTTAGGGAGGAAAAACTGAGTCCTCAGAGGTTTTCCTGTCACACGGTAGTACCAGGTTGCAAACCCAGGTCTGTCTGTTTCCAAAGCCTTGGGGTTTCCCAGTGTGCTATACTGATGGGCTGGTATCTTACCAAGTTGCAGCTCTGTGAAGGCAGGGATTGGGCCATAGTCTTCTTTTTACATCCTGGCAGCATCTACAATAAAGACGATGCTCAGCTAATGCTTATGGATTGGCCCAGATATCAAGCAGGAAACAGTTCTGGAAAGTTCTCTAAATTTCCCATGAGGCCTGAACCCAGGGATCACTTTGAGGTGGAAGAGGTTAACTCAGAATCAGTTTAGAAAGAAAAACGTCAAATCTGGGGAATTTTCTATTCCTTTTTGGTTTTGTTTTGTTTTTCCTTTTTCTCTTTAACCCCACCTCCCCAAAATGTGTCAAAACTGTTAACATATTGCCATCTGTTCATTATTTAATCATCCAATAGATATTTTTGAAACCCACTACTGTCCTAATATTCTAGTGAAAAAAAGACACAATCTCTGTCCTACAGAATTTACATCCTAGTGGTGGAGGTGAATGTCAATCAAATAATCAAACAAATAAATGGCAATTTGTTGCTCTGACAAGTGTGAGGAAGGATGCCTCGAGATGCTATGAGAGGCCGGTCGGACCTACTCAGGAAAGTCTGGGCAGCTTCTTTTGAGGACCTGGAGCTGGAGCAGGGATCTGAAGAAGAGAGGAGGGTTTGGACCCACAGGGGAGTCTGTGAGTCCATGAGGTGGTGATTGTCTTCGGGTGAGTAACCATCGGTCATGAAGCCTGTCTATAGGAAAACCACAGAGGGGCCAGGGAGCGGGTGGCTTGTTTGCCGGCGAGTGCATCACGCTTGGATGGAGGCTGCTGCTGTCTCCCAGGTCCCATCTGGGGATGACGTTGCGCTGGTGCAAGCCCAAAATAGCCGGCTCCGCCCCTATCTCCCGGCAGCCCCTGCAGCAGCACCCCCCCCACCCCCCACCCCCAGGTGACAGGCTGAGCCGGCCTCCTCTGGGTCTCTAGTAGTTTCCGTGTC